TGGTTGTATCTTGCACATCTTAGTACAATAAGAGTCCAGTGCATTGCCTTAGAATATGGCAATACAGTATCACAAGCCTCAGGAGGGACATAGAGACCTAGTGAGGAATCACAGAGACAAGCTGAATGTAGCAGTTTTGCTGTTCCATCTCTTGTCCTAACCCATTCTTGCATCAAAGGTGTGTGATGAGGATTTCCAAGCCAGCATTTGAAAATGAAGGAGAGTTTCTTTAAGCCTGCCTGATTAAACCAGTGCACAGAGACATTGTAATGGTCATATGCTGGTGACTTCCATTTGTCTCTACTGGCAGCTTCAATACAGTATAATTAGCAGTGATACTTGGGTAAATAAAGTATATAATGCACCAATAATCTCTTCATCACTTAAAACCCAAACTTGATCATCTGTCTGATCATATATAGAAGTCTTCACTCTTCTCCAGGTTTTTGGTGCAGAAAGCTGTACAGGCAGAGCTTCTCCCGTGATAGAAGCAGCTGCAGCATCTATGAATGATGCTAGTGTGGGTGATGAAATGATGCCAACTGGCACTCGAGACATATTGTAATTTTGGATGAAATGAGAGTGAGGAGATGTTGGTGAATTGATCTGAGACATTTTTTTTGACTTTTTGTGTAGTTGAATTAACAGAATGAATGAAAGTAGTTGGTTTATTTTTTTTCTACTGCAATAATGCGGCTACCGCGAAATCTGCGGTAGCCGTGGGAATCTTAACCGCGGTTAGCATATCCGCGAGAATCTTAACCGCGGTGCGGATCCGCGGTTAGAGCTATCCGCGCCAGTCCCTAATGCCCCATGTGATGTTCGCTTGACGGTCCTGTCACGTGACCGAACTTGTACTGTAGCCATGTGGCTCAGCTTTCAACTCGCAGTCAAGTAGTCTGCTGTTCACTGCCAACAACCATGGATGTCGCCCCTGGTGCGCAAAATAATGCTCCTCAAGCAAGCAGCAGCTCCTTGGACAATGTAAGCGACGACACAAGAGTTTGGCTGTGGTATATGTCTGTTGGTGGCAATGCAGATCCCCCGAAATCATTGCTGCACATTCCTCATAAACGCATGGAGCTCTACTCCCTCAAACCACGTAAATGGCTCCTCTATTTAGCGTCTGTCATATTAGGCATTGATGGGACACTTCGTTTCCTTAATGGGGACGAGGACTTTACTGAAGGGGAGATGGACGAGGACGTCGGGCCTGGGGACCGCTATGTATTTTGCTTCGACGGAGAAGCGAGGTTCTTAGATTATCTACTGAGGGGCACTCGCCATGATCGAAGTTCCTCTACCTCTACCCGTTCTCGTGTTGTGCCGAATGAACTGAAGGAATACTATGGTGGTTGCCCGTTTAGTCTGGTTCCGGCAGAATTGTGTGACGTGAGCCACCTCATACCGTTTACAAAGGGCGACGACGTGAGCATCGGGGCAGTTTACTATAACTGATGCTAACTTCCTACTTTACAGTATCTCCACAGACTCCTTGCAACTCGTGGCGAGCCCGACGACGCCATGTCCATTGATGACTATCAGAACCAGATAGTAATGTATAAAGGACTCCATGGCGCCTTTGATATTAAACGCATCGCGTTCCTTAAGGTGAGTAATGTACTATGCTCCTTTATGGTCATATCGACTTATCTGTACATAGACCCCGAATAAGTTCCTCAAGACCAACGACGTGCCAGGCGGGGAGAATGCTCTACCGAACATTTATCGTGTCACACTTCACAGCTTTATGGAAGATGAGGGAGTTCGTGACACCCTGCATCACAATGCCCATTCCTCATTGACAAGAGGTTCTGGGTCAAGGAATCTTCACGCAAGAGGAGACACTGTTGGAGAGTATCTACCTCGAGACATCTTACTTGATCTCACTTATGCATCTACCGTGTTTTTTAACTTCGGCACTCCAGAAGCAAATGAGATGCTAAAAAAGAACGCCGAGCGTGATTATTATCCGGGCGGTATTGTCAAAAGAGGTGAAGATAGGGAGGGAAAGGCAGAAAAGGAGCAGAGAAAACGCAAATACGAAGGAGAGAATCAAGGACGCAGTGAAAGGGTTGTTCGACGATCGAGAAGTGGCAACAATGATGGCGATCATGCTGACGGGAATGGAAGACAATTCGACTTCTGGGACGGGTTTTACGCAATGCAGTTGATGATTCATGGCATTCGGCCCGAAGACATTGAAGCAGAGGAAGAACGACGCAGGAGAGAGACAGAGGAGTTGAATGCACAGAGAATTGCTAGATGGCGGAAGACTGTTGATGAGAGCCCTATATAGACTCAATACGAGCAGCATGGAAGAAACCTGAATCTTGCAAATGAAAATCGAAGGAAAGTGGTGGTAAATGAACACTCGGCACAGTCAACAGTCTCACACAATGTTTATTCTTCTTCATGCGTTGGCTCGGACCTACTTTGCTTCTTGCCTTTTCGCAAAAGCATTGGCTTGAGAGTATGGATGTGATGACAGGACTGGTGGAGATGGTGGTGGGACAATACCCAGTGAAGGAGGGAGTGGCGAACTGATTGCAGATTTCTATCCAGGTTCTTTTACAGTTAGATTTCTTTGTATTGTACAAGAGGTGTTTGCATTTGGTAGTATACAGGCAGAGAATGTAAGGTAAAGGACAGGTACAGAACAACTATGGCTGAGAATAGTGAGTAAGGCAGAATACAGGACTCTAATACAAAATAGGTACCTTTTCAGAACATTGTGTATAGGTTGTGACAGGACTAGCCTGCTACAATAAATGTAATGAACTGTACTCACAATCCTTACAAGAGTAATAGTCTTGATTCCTTAGAGAGTAAGAGAGAGGAGAGAGTGTTACAGTCTGCCACTCTCAAGCCCCCAGTTCTTTCAGTTCTGTGACCTTCTGTCCTGGAACTTAGGACTTCTATCCCTTGAGTGTACAGTATATAGACTATATACAGACTGATTCCTACAGTGACTCCTACTACTATTCTGTTACAGTTCTCTGCTCTTGTACCTTCAGTTCTAAGGGTTCTGCACCCTTCTGTACCAGAACTCAGGACTTCTGTCCCTCAGGAGTGCTGTCTATGGACTATATGTATGCTGACTCTTGCTACTACCCTTCCTTACTTTATCATTCCATTCCTTTGACCACCCCTTCATTCTTTGTATCATTCTATAGTCTCTTACCCTTTGCCCATCCCTTCATTCTTTGTACCTTTATCTTTGACATTCCTTTCTTTCATTCTTTGTGGCTCATCATTCTTAGTGGCTCATACTCCCTGAGTACTCTTGTGTAGTTTAGTATATATAGGTGTACAAGATCAGACTGGTCCTAGAGTCTTGATCTTGTCTACTCTAGGTAGTCCTGTACTCTTAGGCTTACTCTATATACTCTACTCTTGTCCCACTCTCTCTCTCTGCCTGTTCTACAAGTTCTAACTATGTTTTAGTACTTGTGTTCTGTATTTCTGTTGTATAGGATAGTTGTAGCCTGGG